TGGACTCCATGAAGTGTTTCTTCCACCAATGCTTAATTGAATCCAGTGACTCAGAGTCTTCTTCGCAGAGGAAGATCGCACGGCCCCCGTGCGATCGTTCTTCCAATTGGGCCCTCTTCACATTGGGAAGTGCTTTTATGCAGACCGACACGTTCACGTCCCCCACACCACATACTCGCATGGTGGCTTCCAGGCTGCGTATATCCTTCTTGAGCTGCTGCTCAGCGTCCTTTATGTTCCTATCAACTGCTTCTTCAAGTTTCTTTCCTGTTTCCTTGGTTTTCAGATTCTTCACTTGAATGAAGATGACCCCAAAGTGCCGATGTATCAGAACGATATCGTGTTCTCCTGCTTCCACTGCGTCCTCAATTCCACCTCCCACATTTCTTCTATTGATGAGGCTGATGAAGTTTCGGTTATAAGTAATGAACACTGGTATTTCGTTTTCTTGCCCAAAGTGATACAGGCGAAGAACAGGTGCTCTCTCAGACGCTTCCCCTGGAGTCCTTGCTGCCTTCATCCATTTATCTTCATGTTCAACTGATGGGACGAGGCGAGATATCCTAGCAGACTCCCAATCAGGATATGTTCTCTTGATAAATTCTTGAGCTTGATAGATCCATGTTGATTCCTGAGGTGGCTTATTCGTGTCCATTGCATTCACAACTGGAATAAAGGAGATGTTGCTGTCAACCTCTCATCTTATTTCATAATAGGAATACAAACTTACCGCCACGGCAATGGCTGAAAAGTGATGCCCGTTTTCTTTAATTTGCTTCGATTTGTCTCGAAAGTGGAGATGGGAAATGAGAGTATTTTCGCTAATACTCATCCATGGAATTCTAAGGATCACATTCAAAAGTTTTTCAAATTGGGACTGCTTTCGCGAACAGACGCGTAAATATTATTACCGCTTCGCTCGTGAAGAACATTTTAAGCAAAGCTTTTGGCAAATTAATGAATACATTTGTGCCGCTTGGGTACTACATTTCCCAGGCAGTGAATTGAAACTTGTTGCATCACGTTTCACTGGTAGAGTCATATTGTCTACATACTTTTGCGTAAGGAAACAGCATTCCTTAAGAACGACAATTTTTTTCGAATTTACCAAACTGGAAACCACCCAAGGTTGCTACTTCAGCAGACTTACTGATTTACAGTGAAAACAAGGAAAAAATATTACATATATGGCTTATCATGTTCGGCAGGAATTCAACTTGATTCAGCGGGCCATGGAAACGCTCACTTTTCATTGCAAATGAAACCTTCATTTCTTCATTTAATTGTCCTGTGATTTCATTTTCCAAGCCAAACAGCCAAAAATATCCATCAACATGGCCGAGGTGAAGGTCGCAGAGATCTCGAAACCAGAGACGATCGTAACTCTTGCAGATAGCATGCACGCCAAGCACAAATATGTGATAGAACTGTTTCCCGTCCTCCTGGAACGCCTGCAGCTTCGGTATGTGCAGCTTCACCACCTCTTCTCGAGTAACTTTCACTTCCCTATCTTTGTTTTCTTGCTTTGTGGAAGAGATTGTCCTTGAGAGGCTGGCAAGGAGGTCCATTTTTGCTATACTCGTTAGGAATTTATTCACTTCCAACCATTTAGAAGGCAAGGATCCTTCTTGAGGTTGTTCATCGTCCCCAGTATGGTTGTCACAGCCATTTTTCCCATTTGAGTATTGATGTCTTCCCTATTGGAATTATCTTGGTCGCTTATGGAGACGTCCCAAGAATCTGTATTACGGCTATCTTGTGTATTTTCATCTCCTTTGTCCGAACTGAAAACTGCATCGATTAGCATGGCAAGTTGTTCCATACCTTCGGGGATTGTCAATGATTCTTGAGGGGATGACGATTCTTGAGTTGATTCGTCAGATTTGTCAGATGCGTAAATCTCATCATCCAATATTTTAAACTCAGACTCCTCTTGGTTGAGGGAAGCTCTCCAGACGAGGGGCCATTCCGTATGCATGAACCCATCGCTAGGAATAGCTCCTTTCTGAGAGTCTTCGCTGATCCATATCCTTGTCGCATGATCCATATTTTGTCCATTGATGCTAGACTGCTCAAGAGTGGAGACAGTACTACTGAAGTTGGAAAGCATAATTTCTACCATATTCTTCAGCAGTTCCCTCATTTCCAAAGACCCCTTACAAGGAGTAGATCCCTCCTCTGTTTGTTTTCTTTCACCCATCCCCTTCGCGTTTTTCCTATTCATGTCCTCTTGAGGAATAGAAGGAACTCCATAGACGTGAGTTTCGGCCCTTTCCTCTAGATCTTTCCCAGCTGTTGTCTCAGACTCCAAATTCTCTTGGTCATGCTTAGTTGTGTCAATAGTAATACTTTCCTCAGGGGAGAGTATGCAGAATTCGAGGCTTGTGTGAAGCACGCCATGGACCATCTCGGTCCGTTCTTCTGGAGATTTTGTGGTCCACGAGGAATAGGCGTTCAGTGCAGAGCTCCTGACCCATTCTGGAATCGTATGCCGAATATCTTCTATGACACTTTCCGTAGGTCCCAGGACGAAGAAACGCTCTGGCTGAGTTTTCTGCTTAACGGAGAACAATTTAATTATGATGTTACGTATCTTTTCGCTAACGTTTCTTTTCGATTTCTGAGTCTCCTTTGATCATGCACTTGGTGGGTTCGTTGGCAAGAATATGCAATTCCAACTTGGTAAGGAATTGCAATCCTCCTGTACCAGTCCCGAAGGATGAAGTCACAAACAGAGGTGCCACGAATCTTCAAACACAAGGGAGAAAAATGGTCAGGTCCACAGCCTTATAAGCAAATCTGTCAACTGTAAATGACATTGCCAACCGTGACCTATCGGAAACAAAGGAATAGGATGATTTTAAAATGTTGCTTCCTTTTTTGCTTGGTTTCTTGCACGATGTATCCGTCCGCGTTTAAGACTATTGGAGCGTTTAAAAATAAAAATTCAAAAGTTTATCTGGTCACTATTTCTCCTTAACAAAATAATATTTTTTTTAGACATGCAGACACGCAAACTACAACGGACCAATTACAGTACGTAGAGATGAAAGGAGTGCCCGCATGGCACGGGCACCACATCCGCATAACAGTCCCCTGGGCTGAGACACCCCTCAACGGTCCTATAGGAGGCCAAAGGGGCAGCTCACGGGTTGCCTAAGCCCATGACTGGCAAGAGTGATTTTTAAGGTGTACTGCACCTTTATCTCCTAGACGTGACACGCAGATTGGCATGTGTGTTATCCAAGCAGACACTCCCCATGAAATCAAGTGGGTTACCAGTCGGCGCAGAAGGAGCCCGCCGCCACCTGGATTTATCAAAATAGTTTTCAATGGCAATAATGATTATATCATCAGAAAATGAATTTTTTAACGCTGCGGTAGGTTGGGATACCTTGCTTCCTGCAACTTTTATATTCTTTCCCCTGTCTCTTCCTTCAAAACAGTCGGTCTCTCTCTATATAAGAGTGTCTAATCAGGAAAAGAACTTACATGGCCAACAAGGTCTGGTGAGTGTCGTGGTCGAGATGAAATCGTTCGGTCTTGAGAGGCTTGATTCTCTCTGTCCACCATGTCTCGAGTACGGCTGGGGACGTGCAGTCCTCTACATAAAGTACAAGGGCGTTTTGAGGCGCCTTTTCGGCCTTACGGACCCCCGGGAATGCGATGATAGGGAAATGAATGAGGAAGCATTTCTTCACCTGGTTGTTCGGCATGCCTACCTCTTTCATCAAAGCCTTCAGCCGATCGAATTCTCTCTTTCCGGTGTCACACTTTTGTTGCATGATATGAAGCTTCGGATCGCCATACTCTCGGCGTTCTTTTTCATACTCTTCGCAGACCTTGATGAAGAATAAACCGCGTAATTCGTCGATGAGGACAATGTCGTGATCACCTTTCTGAATTTTCGCCAGATTCTCATACAGTCACCAGAGAAGCGAGTTTTCATCACTTGCTTTATGTCTCGACTATAGACAATGAACATGGACTCCCCCTCCTTCTCTTCCCTTTCACTGAGAAACTCGAAGCATTTCGTGTCTTTTTCCTTCGCTGGTGTTACGTACACAGGTGCTCCGAATCGTCAAACATGAAGCTAATTATTCCGAGAAAAGTGAAGGAGGGGAATAGCAAAATTAGACAAGTTAACATTAGAACATTCACAGGTTTTCCAATATAGAGGTGAAATTTTGGGGATAGGAAGTAACATATGCTAACCCATTTCATGAGGATTTTCTCATTATACAGGGTGAGTCAAAAGTAACTGGACGACTTTGAACAAGTACAGCTAAGCAAGGAGGGGATTGGTTTGCAAACGGTTACTTGCACATGAAAGAGTGTTTATTAATTGACGAGTGGTTGTGGAAAATTACTCGAAATACCAACGAGGAATGGCATGAGCCTGCCGAAAACGAAGAGCAAAAATTTCGACATGAAAGTGATATTTTGGGTATGACAAAAAATTATTTTCTTTTAATTTTGGCTGCCTCAAATGGTTTTCTGAAAATGCAGATGAACTTTCTTTGGAAGAACGTGTCGCCATCGTTAATTTGAATTCACATGTGAAGGAAATATTTCCGAAGTGAAGCGTCGTTTTGCTTCGATAACAAGCGGATAGTTCGGGTCGGACCTATCGAGTGAAGTCCCAGGTCGCCTGACCTGACTCCAATCGACTTCTAACAGTGGGGTTTCATTTAAAGACCAGGCATAACCCAAAAATTCTTGCATGATCATTGAATTGAAACAACGCCTCACTGAGAAGATTCTTGTAGTCTGCTTTCGGTAGAGAATGGGTAGTTATTAGAAATACCAAAGGTAACTTTTCAAAGCCTACTAAATTCTGCAAAGTCCATGTTTGAATAAATCTGTTATTGGGGACTTGCGATTATGAGGCAAACTTTTATGATTCAGGGAAGTACAAAATAATAGACGTATTTACAAAAAGCTTTCAGGCAATATTCATTCATTTTGTAAAATTAGCATTTTATAAAGCAGTAAAACATGTTTATATATTAGACTTCTATACATGGAATTGTACAGCGCGATCTATGCCTTAGATAATCAAGATTCACGATGGGTTAACGGTTGTGGAATGCGCACGTGATCAGACACTGTCCTTCTGGGCATGTTCCTCGTGCATGGACTTGAGACGACGACGCAGATCAGTGGGTAGCTTCCTGTAGCACCTCTTGCAGGCCGGTTTCTGGTCAAATTCGTAGAACGTGCTCTTCTCGTTCAGTTTTGCGTCGCATAGAGCACATGCGAAGTGACCCGCGCACCATGCCTTGTTCAGGCATCTGAACACTTTTAAAGAAAGGAGAACCCGTATCAGGAAACAAATTGTGCTTTACTCCATTATCCTACAGGTATCGGAACAGGTATCTACAGGTATCTAAACATTTTTCCTAAATCGTTGCTCAAATTCGTTTCAGTACGAAATCGACTTTTCTACGAGAGGAGCTACATTAAATTATTCATCTGGAGTTGCGTAATAAAACGCAGTATAAGGTGTCAATATAATTTTCTTTAAGGTGCAGCATTTGGATCGGAATTCATTGAAAATGCAAGGTGTGCTGTCATTGAAAACCATATTGACATGTAATAGTTGTGGCATCCCGACCTGCCTTTTAGTGATTCCAGCATGCAATGCCAAAGTCACTCTTGCAAGGTATCGAAAAACATTCAGGCACGGACAGCGATCAATTTTCCAACTTGAAGTATGGAGGGGAGACGACCGTATAATGCCTCCTTCTTAGCAAATCTGATGCATTTTTTCCCATTTTAAAAGTGCACCAGTGCTATTATTCCACTGATTGTGAGAGCATTAACTTTTAAGAATGGTCTTGATGTGGCTTCATCATTAGACTTATTAGTCTCTAATGATGAAGCAAATGGGCAATTTTGTATTCAGGTAGGAAGAAAGGGAGTGAAGTGTGAAAGTAAATTAGAGAAAGTCGGTTACATCACTGCGGGCTTTTTGTGGGTTTACAAGGCATGAACCCTAAGTCGCACTTCAACTGGGAAAAGCGTCACGATTAAAGGGAAAATGAAGGTGACAGAAATACTTACTATCCATAGAGATAACCTGGTTGCAAACGAAGCATGAATTCCCAAAAAGCTGGTGATAGTGAGTCTTGCAGTATGCCAGGCCTTTCCGCTCGTAAAATCGGTTGCCCAAGAACGGCTTCTCGCACCTGGCACATACGAAGTGCTCTACGTGCCACTGCTTCCCCAGGGCAGTCACAGCGCGCTCTTCGATGGGACGGCGACACGCTCCACAGATTGGGATCTCCATTTTGTCATGACATCGTTGACAATAGAGCTCGTTCTGTAAATAAAAGCTCTCGCTTGCATTATCGAAAGCATATTTTTGGGAACATACTTGTGCAAACTTCCAGAATGAATTTAAACTTGAATTATCTAATTTGGCAATTTTGCAATAATGTAAATGAATCCTACATATCTAAGCAAATTGGCAATTATTACACGTTATTCGCCAATTCTGTTTCAGAGTCTAGTGCAGTTGAAATATCAGCAGAGTCTCATCAACAAAGAATGGCAGAAGTCCATCTTGACCTCGCTATCTCACCACACTGTTACCATTGGGCCCATCGGGTATGCTTTCAAGTGGCAGAACATCACCACCGAATCGTAACATCTTTCTCAAAGTAACACTTTGCAGAACGATTTCATGTTACTAATACGGTTGTTAATTTAAGATTTGCATACATGCTGAAAAAAACTCAATAAAATATCGTGATCTCACAACTTTCTCATAAGATTTGCTGAATTCTTCATGAGGATTGTGGGGTTTCTCATCAGGTTTCGAAACGCCCCATGAGGATTTTGAGGATCGTATAAAGCCTTAGGAGGTTTCTCATAAGGTTTCTCAGCTGAGTTAGCCTTTGATGTCCTGACTCTAAAAGCCCTTATACTGCAACCAAGATGAAGATCATACCATTTGGTGTGCCGAGCGGACAGGTTGAGGAGTAGTGAGTTCCCGGGCATCCGCATCCAGTTCCACACCGCACAAGCCACAGTTGAAGTGATATGGGTGATAGACCTCTCCACGGAATCGTAGAGGTCCTTCATCGATTACTTGCCTAATTTTAATCAGAATGGAAAATACTGAAGGACGCAGGGGATACTGTATTTGGCCCATATATGCCGAAAGTAAAAATCACGGAAAATGATTTCTGTTAAATATACATTATAATAGGCTAGCTCTTCTGATTCAACTTGCTTCTACAGATTTTGGGAGTGAGGGGGACGGGGAATTTTTTATTGACTCCCAGTTCTGAGTTCTTTCCAATGAAACCAGTTGCAATAATTGCAGATGCATTTCTAATTAAATCTGCATCCTAGCTGAATGTGGTCCATCTGGTATGATTGACGGGTGATTTTTTTCTTCTCTTTCAAAAAATGCATATGAATACGAATGAGAATGCGTAATACTTGCACGTGAAGCAGATGTGCTTGCCAGCCACAGCGGCCTTGGCACGGACGTTGCACTCGGGGCAGAGAGCGCGTCCGGCGCTGTTGATAAAGCCGAGGTCCGCCAGCTCCCTGTCGCAGGCATTGCAGCGGAAGCACGAGGGGTGCCAGTTGGAGTTCATGGCGTTGATCACCCGGCCGGTAATGAACTCGCCTTAAATGAGAAAAATATGAAATAATTAAGCGATGGAATTGTAAAAACTGCTTCAGGAGAAGAATGCGAACTAAGGAACAAAATGCAACGCATAGTGACAAGATGATATCAAAAGTGTTGAAAGTGTGGATAGAATGGCCTCATTTATGGAAACCATTATATAACTGCATTATTGAGAGAACACATGGCGGGAAACAATTTCGCCAAATCGCATTTTCAAAAATATGTACCTGCTTTTTATGATGAGGCAAAACTACGCCAAAAGATTCTTCCGAAATAAATATGAAAAATAAGTTTCACAAGAGCGAAGAGTATACTGTATATACTTCTTTAAATTTTGTCTGGATACAATTCTTCCCCTAGGGAACGTCTCCGTTGCAGTGCCACTCAATGAAAACAACTTGGCAACTGAAAAAGATTAAAATTGGGGTATTGTCATGCCGGAAGCACTTCAAAGTTATACCTTTCTTCAAGTAAATTCCGAAGAGAATAGTGTTGCCAATACGTATCCATGCGACCCTATTTCTGCGTATCACAGAGCCAGAGCTCTACATGTTATCACAAAGAACGGCCTTCATGCGCAACTTAATTAAATTTACGGGTGAAATATATACACTGAGGGACTAATCTGTCCGCATGCTCGGCACAACCCGCGTTGGGACCAATTATCTCCATATAGGTTAACTGAATTAATATGTTTGACCTATCCTTTGTAGCCATACTATTCTTCCATAAGTGTTTAAAGTTTCATCGGAATCCATCCAGCGGTTACGGAGAAACCTCAACTGAAAGCAAATGACTGCATGCGGTCCTGGTGCCCTGGTCCTGTCTTGAGCACATGCTCTCGCGTGAAACACGACGAATTATTCAGAGAATCACGAATTTGCATAGACGAAGGTTCGAGATGAGCTGGTGGCCTATAGCTTAGAAGGCGTCCTCCTCTAAGGCTATCTTCATTCTTTTTCAGTGACATTCTTGAATTCAGTCATCGTGCGTCCACTTTCTGACAGCACCCTGAGAAACGTCCTCTCGCTTATCTATGAGGGCTATAACCTAAGGGGGATTGCCAAGCGGTGCAACGTCCGCCGATCGTCTGTCCAAAGGATCCAGGAACAGCATTTTCCTAACCGCAGTGGGTCGAAAGCCAATCGTCCCCAGGAGCTGTCATCCCAAGACAAGCAGTTCTGCGTCCGTACTATCACCTTAGGGAAGCTGGAAACAGCCACACATGTCACCAACAAGCTCAAGGATGATGTGGGAGTCGAGGTTAGCGTCAAAACCATTCCCCGCGCCTTCCACGAAGCTGATTTAAGTGCAGCAGAAATGAAAGAAAAGCCGAAACTCTCGGCAGCAAATATCAAAGCCCGCCTGGAGTCCGCCAGAAGCCACATGGATTGGACGATTGATGACTGGAAGCGAGTCATTTGGTTGTATGAGACTTAGGGTGGATTTTTGAATAGAGAACTATCCGATAATGCAGCTTTATTCCAGGGAAAATACATGATATTTCCTGGAAATAAAGCAGCACTATCGGATAGTTCTCTGTTCAAAAATCCACCATTAAGATCAACCGTTTCGTCTCATATTGACGCGCCTGGCACTGGAACCTTGAGAGGGAACGCCGGCAAGCTCGACATATCAAGCGGATTGTCAAGCACGGAGACGGCTGGATTATGATCTGGGGCTGCAGTGACGATCAACGGAACCGGCCACGTGAGCAAGATCAAAGACACCATGGATCAGCAGCCCCACAGATCCTTCCCGGAGGACGAATTGTTGCAAAAGCTCGATTGGTATGATCTCGACGTCAACAGGGTTATATTCCAGCATGACAACGACCCAAAACATAAAGCGAAGAACGTCCAACAGGGGCTGAACCAACATCCGTTCGAGGTCCTGTAGTGGCCAGCTCAGTCTCCAGACCTAAATCCCATCGATCATCCCTGAGCACACCTCAAGCGGCGCTTCAACCAGTACGAGGAACCGCCCAGAGGTATGCTGGAGATGTGGGAGCAGGTCCAAACAGAATGGAACAAAATCGACGAAGCATGTGGTGGATTAGCGGAAAGTATGCCTACGCGACTTGAGGCTGCGATTGAAGCCAACTGGATGTGCACAGAGCATTGAATAAGTTGAGTAAATGAATTAAGTGGAAGTCTTGACATAGGGGACAAAACTGTCCGCATGCAGTGGTTTTCTTCCAGTTGAGATATATCCATAACCGCTGGATGGATTCAAATGAAACTTTAGACATTTCTAGAAAAATAGTTTGGCTACAAAGGGTATGTCGCACAGAGTAATTAAATTATCTTATCCCGAGATAATTGGTCACAAAGCAGATGTTGTCGAACATGCGGACATTTTTGTCCCTCAGTGTAAATCCGAATAGCCAATCCAATACCAGCACCCAACACTTACCGCATTTTCCGCAACATGGCGCGTAGAGAATCCGAAAATCATATTCGCAATATTTTCGTCCTTGAAACTCAAAGAATACGCCATCCGGAAATGGTCTGAAGCACTGGACACATCTGAAAACAAAGAAATTGCATTAACTTCAATATGAAATACCAAGTGCGAAAAGAAACGCTTCGCTAAATGAGTCTTCACACGCTCCAAACTTGTTAAATTTGAGGACTTGCTCTTCATGGTTCAAATTTGTAAATAAATTTATTGTTTCATCCCTAAGATAATGGTATTTTCACGCATAGGACTTAGGCCTAGGTATGAAACTGAAAATAAGTTTGAAGATGAGATGACTTACACAAAGCAACGTTGGTGCCAGAGTTGTCCATTAGAGTTCACGATCTGTTCCTTCGGTTCGAAATTCTCGTGACAATGAGAGCATTCCGAACTTCCTGAATTCATATTTAATCTGCAGAGAAAAAGCCAGAACGGCGATTGGAGTACAAATAAGCCAATTAGATGTCAGTGGTGGGAGTGGCGAATTTCAACGCTGTAACTACCAGAACCCACATGATCATATGTTTAATTCTTTGTTTCATATATTCACTACCTAAGAATCTCTTTAAAATATGTTGCCTGATAAAAACCACATCTACCATAACCACATCTATCATAATACCTTGAGTTTCGGACTGTTTAAGTTCACTAAGCAGGCCTACACAAATCACTGTATGCTCGCATCAAGTTCCATTTAACTCAGGACCGTAGTTATATGTGCAAGGTAGTGATGAATTACCATTGTAGCATAATTTGAGGCATTATGGGATGCTAGTCAGGCGTAGTAAATGCCTTGCATCTAAGGAATATGTCGTCGTAAATGTGATGTTTTTTTCAGGTTCAGAATGCATTCTGCATTTATTAACTCAGATATCAGCCGGTTAAAAAATCCTAGCCCAAAATATAGCAACGTTTTTCTAGTCGGATTCCATTCGGCCGGAGACAAAAACGCTATGTTCTTAAATGCTTAGCTTTACTAATTCGTGAACGGATAATAGCCCCAGGTCCAACGTGAGAAAAAAGAGTTTCCTTATATGCATCCTTCGGCCTTGGCTGCCATGTATTCCTGGACATTTCCCGGAAGGGTATACGAAATGTTAGTCTGCGTTCATTCTCCTATCTTATCAGCGCCTGCCAATGAAGGGAACTTCCTTCCTTTCTCTTTCTTGAAACTGTGGTCAGCGGTCGAATCCCAACCAAGGAACTATTCACTGGAGACATGAGGCTTGTGATGTAATTCACATCCAGTGCGAGAAGGATGGAGGTGGTCTATTACCAAGTTGCATCATATTGCTCAGACGAAAGCCGTACAACAACAGGGATCATGGCTGAGACTATGCTGAGCACCGTCACTCCAAAAATGAAATATCCAGACGTACGTAAGTCCTGGTTGGGTGAAATTCGTAGTGTTTAACCTTGGATTCATAGACGGATGAGAATGATGGATGTCACATATTAATGAACAAACCGCATGCAAGAATACGAGCGGCGAGCACAGGAACTAAGTAAGAGCATTCAAATACAAAGTAAGGAAAAATCAAAATAAACGTGCAATTATAGGTAAAATACGTGATTTCATTTATGCACTATTGTCAAGGAAAATCATGTTTATCTTGCACAGCCGCAGAACGTAAAGACACACGAACGGAAACAACTATTTCTATTACGTCGCTGTCTGACTGAGGCAGGATACGGAAGAGTGCGTGGAACCGCCATTTGATGGGCGGAGCGAACTTCTCTGAATGACGTGAGTTGTGGTCACAGTTTGCGCAAGCAAAGAAGAGTCATCGGCAATTCCTAAGACTTACAAGGAACGGAAGTGGCATGTTCTCAAATCGGAAACGATCGTACACATGAAGCAACTCCACCGTCACCGTCCTGACCTATTGAGCGAAATAAAAGCAATGGAATCATTGGGAAGGGTTCATTGAGAGAAGACATTCCGGATAGAAATGGCATTTGGACGTGTTTGGCAGACGGCTATATCCGAGCACATTTCAATTCCCCAGGTAATCCTCATTTCCTGACTCACTCATAAACGACTTCCACAATTCCCATTACGGTAGCATTTCAGGTGCAAACGATTAACAGAGCTACTTTCAAATTATATGACTAAGTGTTCAACCAATAGCATATGCCAACCTTCCTCATGATTAGGACTTACGACGACACAATTAATAGGATGGAGTATGGTCTGTTAATATTGGAAATGATTAATGAGAGGTTTATATGTAATGGTGATATTTTATTACTTTCCGTATCGCTCAATTCTTGTATATTCCCATAACACCACGAGTCGATATTTTTCTATTTCCATGAATGGATGAAACATATTAATACTAGCGGCTTGCGGCCGCTCGTTTGCTGTCTAAAATGGGCGGAAATGTGAAAATGTTTGCTTAAGGATATGAAGCAGTTCTGTTGAAACCAAGTATGATACATTTTCAAGTAAATCTCGAGAAGTTTTAAAGTGATGCCGCCAAGCTAATTTTACTATCGTACCAAAGTTTTAACGGTCCAGCCCATGGCCTAGAATGGCTTAGCCTAGTAGATCTTGCTTGTTAGGATGCAGATGAGTGACTACAATTCACCAACGCTATCGGTCTCTTTGAATTGTTATGGCCTAGGGAATGGCGCAGAATGGCACCCTGGAGCTTTAGGCTGTGGATGGCTTGGTCTATGGCCTAGAATGGCATAGCATCGTAGGCCTCGCGCGTTAGAAGTGACAGCCACCACAACCTTCGGCCTCTTTCTATTAAAGTATTAATATTTCTATGATCTTTAGGCCAGTGTGGCGGTGGCCGTCTAATAGGCGGAAATTTGAATAGTCTATTGTGAGCATGACGTCTCCTTGACATCCTCTGTTCATCGCATTGCCCGTTCGGAACTGAACCGATTCATTAGATTTATACACATACAGCTTACAGTACACAGGGAGATTTTGTTCCTAAACACATTCATCACGATATTCGAGCTCATTGCCACAATCGCCATTCTGAACGCATCGGTTTAGCAGGTTTTCATGAGACTCAAGACGAGTTTGCTGATATCGTTGTCCCAGCACATTCTATACTCTTGCATCACCGATTAGCTCATGGGCTATTAGCATTAGCTAATGGAACAGATACCACTGATTCTGGAACAGGCAATTTCCAAGAACTTGTTCGACTTAAGCACAGAAGGAAGTTAGAGCATGTGCGGCACAATACTAACGAATAATTCCTGAAAATGCCTCGCCGACACATTAGCACCAGTGATCAAACCATCCTGAGGTTCTGAAAAAGTGTGAGTTGCAGCAGCAGCAATTTTCCATTGAGGCAGCAATGTGAAACAAATGCCCCCTCCCCACAGCAAAATTTACAGCCTGACAGTGCTCGCTGTGACAAACGACTGTAATTATTGAGATGACAGGAGGAGGCATGACCAAATGCCCCGAGTTCCGTGGTGTAATGGTAGCAAACCTGACCGGCAAGCAAGAGGTCCGGGTTCAATTCCCGGCCCCCCCCCCCCCCCGGCTTTCGACACTTGAATTGTTCCTTGCTTCAAGCTGCTCAGCAGGTTCCTCCTATTCCTGAGTTCGGCTTTCGCTGCCTCTTGCTGTACAGCGGTCTGAGTGATCCTAAGCTGCTGACGGACATCACTCATTCTAGCCATTATGGCTAGCACCTACTAAAGCACCGATTTAGGCACTTCGCACCGTAACTGTAGTGGCAAACGTTGTTTCCGTGCCAGCACCAATCGTTTTTTATCTGCAGGGACCGCCTCATCGCCGTCCTCTGGGACCTCCTTCGACATTTTTTCTTCGAGTTCAACCTCACCCCGCAAAAATCGACACCACGTTCATGGTATGAGCGGCTCGTTTGTTTGACATATGAAACGAAGAACGTACGTGATTGTTTTGACTTTATCAATCGTGAGAACTCAATCAGAAATTACATAAAACGCAAACAGAAAACTATTGCATGGAACGTGACACGCATTCAGTTAGAAGTAGCACGCTTTGATTGGCTGCTTAGTATGACGCCTATGGAAATAAGATGAGTCACAGCCTATGGCTCAGACTGACATAGTCCAATGGACCGGGCGCTAAGAGCCTTGGATAGCCAAACCCATGGTCTAGAATAGCATAGCCTCAGGGACCTGGCGCTTTGAGCGGTGGATGGTCTTGCCTATGGCCTAAAATGACAGTCTGGTAGGCCTCGCGCGTTGGTGTGATAGCCATCACCGCCACCACAACTTTCGCGTTCTTCGAATTAAAGTATCAATATAAGATATTAAACTTGATGGCAATGTTCCCGTTCCTTCATTCCCTCCCAGCATCCCTTCAAGAACAAAGCGCTATGCTAGTCATAGAATGTGCTCGCAGTGAGGCAAAAATACGGAAAAGGAATTAAACTAACTTCTTACGTATTTATGTGTAAAGTCAGTTACTAGGCCTTTCTCCTGATTTTATAACCTCCCTGGCAACCAATACGAATTTCATTTTCGCAATAATTAGGCTCAAACGTTCCTTCACGAAAACTCATTTCATATACCGTCACGTTGTAGCTGTGCTATCCACTTTATCGGCGAATATCGTATAGGGTTAAATAATAATTTTTAATAATTCCACTATTAAGCCTGCACTTTTCAATCAATAGTTTTTTTCATCTAACTCCTTATGAATTATCCGTGTATTCCTTCAGCCAATTCCTTAACTAGTCCTTTGCAAGTAAGTTCATTCTTCTGCTGCAGATCATGGAGACGAGCAACTGCAGGAAGGAGTGTCGCATGCCTTCTTGGAAGAGGAAGGGAAGTATCATAATTGCTTTGTTTGGTCTAGTACGTGGCACTTTCCATTTTCCTATTGACCGTTTCGGAATTGTTACATTGGGGAACACACATGAATTTACTTCAGATTTCCGGTATTTCTGAGGATGTTAATAAGATTGCTTCGGAGAGTTGGAAAATAGGGATTTTGGGGTAGTTTCGTTAGTGGCGGTACTTAAAGAGTTTATTTGCAAAATAAGCAAAAAAATCCATTGCTCCTCGGGAATAAACGAAACTTAGTAATAACCAGAGCCAGTGGCTACTAAAATAACAATGACAGACTCCATCACCATCAATTGGTGAAAATTGAGTTCACATCTCATCGATATGTACCGTCTATCGAAGAAATCATCTCTTTTTGTCCATCAATTTCGAGGACATTCAGAATATACGGAATCAGATACAATATTATGCTCCGGGACATATAGGATGATTCTCTAAGGGAACCGAAGTAATCCCGCATAGCCGAAGTGAAAGTCGCTCAGGTTGCAATAAGCAAATATGAATGACTGATGCTAAAGTATTGACAGCGAGCACTAGATGGTGCTCGTGGTACTGATCACCTCCTTGTAGACTTTTGCTCCCCAAAATTCGCCTTTTCGAAGGGTGAATTCTAACATTGATTCGTTTGAAAATTTGAGTGTTCTGCACCATCCACACAGTGGTTCAGCTGGACACGTTTTTTTTTGGAGAGGGTGGGGGCAAGAGGGAC